TGCTCAAATAGTTGTCGCCGCTAACGTTAGCGACACTCATGAGTAGGAATTTTAAATGCGAAAAGACGTATGGGCTAAGAAAGTCCATAAAAAGCAATTACGAGTGCTAGAAGGTGGCGAAGCTTGCGGCTAACTTTCCTCTGGTGATAAAGGCAGGTTCTGAGCAAGGGTATTAGAAGGAGGACTAAGATATTGCGATGGATTGTGGTGTCATTTTGACATCAAGATCACTCACCTAGATGCGCTTTGTTATGACTTGACCTCCATTTGAGAGAATTCGTGCGTGCTGTAGTCACGACGGCCAGGCAAGGTTTTGTTAAAAATGTGCTTTTAAAGATAGACACCAAAAAATCATTCATTCATGATAAACCCAGTTTCCTTGCCGCCTAAAGGAATTGGACAGATTTGGGGAGGTTGAAACGCCAATCGTGTTTTTATCTAAGTCTGCATTCAATCCATCCTCCTGTACCTGCTTTCAACTAATATTTGAAATACAACTTCCGTATCGAAAGGATTTTTCGGCCCTAATTAAGTGTCTTAGAGCAGTCTGTTTTACCGATCTGGACTTCAGGTTGAGCCACTTTTTTCAAAGCGAAATAGCGTATGTTTGTAAACGGATTGATCACCACTTTCACGGGAATCTCATGCAATCATATCACATCTCGCATAGCTTGCCCACCAAGAATAGGTGAGGAGAGTTGAACGACCACTGAACGCGAATTCCGCACTATTATGCAATGACTTGTGAAGTGTGTTTCTTATTCACTCAGCCATAAGCCGTTGGAATTGGCCAACGACCACGTTTCGCCACGTGTGGGTGTGTTTCCATGCTTAGTTGACTCAGCTACGTCGCGCCAGAATTATCTCTCACCTTTGATGGCCAGACAATCATGTACCACGTGTACCCACACTGACAATGCGGTTTATGGAAATTTTCCTCTCTTGAAGGAGAATGAGGAGAGTGCAGAATGGGACGTGCTCTCCCCTTCTTCCCTATCTTTTCACCACTTTTGTTTATAGTTTTGTGCAAATTAGTGACTTTTCGATTGCCCTCTTGTGTGTGTTCCTACGCCCCTAAGTGCGAACGTCCGTAAGGCTGTACTTTCCTGGTTCCCTCTTTATTATCATAGCTGTTGGGCATAACTTTATCATTCTTCAAGATCTTCAAGATCTCCTCGAAAATGAATGCTGAAACTCACTTATTTACCTGTCGTTCGATGTTTCTTTGCGCCAGATTTGCCCATGTGTGGATATTCAAGTGTAAAACATTCCGCTGTTT